ATGAGTCCAGTAGTGGAAGCCGGGACGAAACGCCAACTCGTGATGTTCTTCACAATTCTTAATTTTCTTAGATTCAGATTTATTTCTACTTTAATATTATAATTTAAGAATTTAATATGTCTTTCAACATATTATTAAGATCCATTTTAGATGCTAAATGCATCAAAAAAAATAATTGTGATATTACTACGGTAGTTGATTAGAGTTGCGTTTTAAGTTCGACGAACGTTCGGCGCGCAATGGGGGGGTAACTACTTACGTAGTATATAATATTCACATTTTAACATATCTTATATATCGCACCAATAACAGCTGAAAGGACTCTCTATTAGCCTGTCTATTCTTGTTATTTCATAATGTTAAATTTTACTTTTTGCGCTACTAATAATTGTTTTGTTTCTTTTATTATACTGGGAGGCTTTATAGCAGCAGATTTGCTGGCGCCTCGCCATTTGTGTATAATTGTAAAATTTTATATGCAATAAACAATACAATATATAGATTTGTAGGTCATCGAAGTACAGCAGTTCCCGTACGATTGTCAAGGTCAAGCATGCGAGGTCGTATTTGTATTCGGATGGGTGACCGTTTGGGAAGCATCATGAAAAAAAATTAATTCTCGAATTTAGAGGAAAATTTTTTTTCATATATGACCATATATAGTCATATATAATCATATATAGCTGCATAGTGTATGTGTGGTTATATACTGACATATATGGCCATATATAGTCATATACAATCATATATAGCCGCATATGTAGTCATATATGTTCATGTATGGTCATATAGAGACAAATATCATATATGATCATACATAACAATTCATATATAATCATATATAAGATTTTTACTCGAGTAAGTAAAATATATCTATTGTACAATTACTAAAGTAATTGTAATTGTACATGCAAGCTTAATTCTTGCATGCAGAAGTGTAGCCGTACTCTTACAAATAAGATTGGACAATAATAACAATTTATAAAAATGAAAAATTATATTGTAAAAAAATTCATAATAAGAAAACGATAATTTTAATATAAAAGTAATATCAATCACGGAAACACTTTTTTTAAAATAGGTAAATATAAAAAAATAAGTTATTACATTGAAAATGAACCGAAAATTTTAGAAAAAGAAAAAGTCACGAGTTTATACCTATATATTATTTTATCGTGTAAAATAATGCAAAATTAAAAAAAAATTATTTCGAAAAAAAATAGAAGGAAAAATTTGCCCACGATCAAATTAGTCTTAAAAATCATCAAATAAATCTAAGTTTTTATGAGAATTTTTAAAGAAAAATTAAACGTGTCATACTTTAAAAAATTAATAATTTTTTACATTAAATTAAAAAAAATTAAAAAATAATTTTGAAACTTTTCTTGATATTTTTTTTAAACTAGAGAAAAAAACACACAATTTAAAAAAAAAACGTTTTATTTGGATTATTTTTCGCAAAGTTATAAAAATCCAAAAGCTTTTGAGTGGTTGATTTGGCGTGGAATGCCCCATATAACGCATACATACATTGTTTCACTTGGAATGTGTTGCTGTGATATACATCCATTACTTAAACATGTTTTAAAATATTGAATAACACTTAAAAGCATATTACACCGAAAAAATATGGATTTTGTGTTATATTTTTGACATTTTTGTTTAATATAACGATAAGACGCACGAAAAAAATTCAATTAAGGTATATTTTACAAAAACAGACCTCCATTTACAACCTCCATGCATTGAAATTGCAAAAAAAATTTATTTTATTAATTATAGATGTTTTCAATAGCGCGTATATTTGCATTTTGCCGCATGAAACGTATTTGTTCTGCTTTATTAAGAGGTTATATACGTTTAAAATTTTCAAAAAATCGATTTTTCAAAAATGATATTTTCTAAAAGTAGGTATTTAGAAGAATATTTCCTGAAAATTTTAAATAGATCCGACAAATATTTCCAGAGATACAGACTGTTGTGTACTTGCATCCGACAGCGTTTCGACCGTTGCATGGTCTCATTGTGCGCACACTCGATTATAGTGTGGCCTAATGCTCTTTTTTGGGACAAAAATATCAATTCATACATAAATAGTAAAATAAATATATTTACAATATAAAAAAAAATTCACTTTATTATAAATCTAAATTTTTTATATCGACAATGAAACTACTAGGGTTTGAACGTTCGTGGTTTGTGCTCACTTCCATGTCGCACGCGAAGAATTGCTAAGTAGAAGTTGTGTGTTGACGATCGTCATGAAATTAGTTGCGTGTGATTTGCAACTAATTTTATGACGATCGCCAACACACAACTTCTACTTAGTAATTCGCGCGCGACACGGAAGTGAGTACAAACGGCTCGCAAACAAAGATATATTAAAACTTTGGAAGCTGCTACTGCTGCAGAAGAGCTGTTATATGGACCTGGAATAGATGACACTATGTAAGTAAAACCCAAATTTTTTAAAATACATTTTCTCTGGTTTTAAACTTTAAACTCGTTTTTCTCAAAACTACATTTTTAAAGTCGGTGAGCAAAATATCTCAAAAACTAATGAATCGATCTTCCTAATTTTTTTTTTTACTTACTTTGGACATGAATATTTCGTAATTAATCGAAGGGTTTATATTTTAAATGCGTAGTTTTTTTTTTATTAATGAAAAAAGGATAATTTTTAAGGTAAAAATCGAAAACTTTTCTTTAATGAGCCGCCATTTTGTTTCTAATCAATATTTTCAAAAACCGAACGATTAATTACTAGCTTATACAATATACTAATGAAATTTTTTTGGATTTTTGATTTCAGATGAGTTCCTGCCGAGATATGTTGCTCACCGCAAAACCATTTTTTTTTAAATACGTCTCTGTAGACCGGCGCAGATTCTAAATTATTAAATATTTTTGTACAAAAAAATTTTGAAATATACTTTAAATATAACTTTATTGGATGTACAAACTGAAACATATGTATATAGTTTCATTTTGTTTAAAAAAAA